GTGACACAAATGTCATATAGGATACTTTAGAACACAAATGGCACACTATATTAGGACACAAATGTCATATATCATACTTTAGAACACAAATGTCATATAGGATACTTTAGAACACAAATGACACAAAGTTAATAGTTTGAGTTTCCCAGTGGTATTAGCCCTAATATTTATGTTAAGGGTTTGTTGTAAGCTAACTATATTAGGTGCAGAGATGATGAATGATGTATTAACTGGAATGATGAAGATAATCATGGATGGTTAGTATTATTATTATTGCTTAGATATAATGATATTTTATGATAGTAATAACATGTGGTTATGTTTTATTCATTAACAGGATAATTGTTTTCATGTAATGTTATGTTATTTGGTTAATCCGATTACCCAATTAACCAAATCAATTAAACTTTGGTTTGGTTAATTTGGTTTTCGTGTTAATTTGGACGGTTTGGTTAAGATATTTTATTTCATGGTTAGTGAAACTTAGACTTAATTGGTCTGGCTATTACCACGGTAACCATTGAACACTCCTAGTTGGTGACATGGCGGTGACCTGGACAGTTGACAAACGGTCAACGGTGTTGACCGTCCAAACAAACGGTCAAACCACGATCCAGGCCAAATGAATATTTGTGCTACAAAGTTCGGGCCATGATGTTAATTTGTCAAACCACGTGCCAAAGTTGATTATATGGTCATAGTTGGGGCCAAAAATAAGGTATTAACCCTACAATGAATGCCTACCTACGTATACGAATGTATTATATTGGACAAAGAGTACGTGTAAGTGTTCCTCGATCAAATCACATCTCTCTCTATATCCGTTGAAAAGCACAATTACAATGCACTTCTCCAATGATCAATTGCTGGTTGGCAAAGCTAGCTAGTTGCCTAGTGTCAGAAACCCGCCCATTGGGATTTTTCTTATTATTTATTAGTAGGATAATTATAATTATGGTTAGTAAAGATTTAGTCGTATTAGGATTATTATTAGGATTTTTCAGTATTTCCCTATAAATATATACTTTGGGTTTACGTCATAATCAATCAAGAAGAATATTAAGAAGAATCTCCTAAACCCTATTTTATCCTCTCAACTCCTAAATTCTATTCTCTCCTAATCCAAGGCCTCAGCCCTCGGCCGATTCTTTATCTATTCTGTTCTTTCTCATCAAAATCCCTAATCCCTTCTCTCAACTCTAAATCCCTATTTATTACGAGTAGTAACGGGTGCCGAAGATCAGCCCCTAGAAGCCCTAAGAAGCGGATTTCTTACAGTGGTATCAGAGCCTGGTTGCAGGAACCCACATTAGAATCATGTCAAGTTCTCAAGAACACGAATGGAAGGAAGCTGATCGAAGGCGATTCGCGAAAATAAGAAAATTGTTGGCGCAGTGGCGTCATGCGATTGGAACAACGATGAGGATGATTGGTTGGAAGACGACGAATACGACGATGTGGCGCGCACGGGTGAAGGCAGGAAGCTCGAGGAAAACATCGGGCGAGACAAGGAGGTGATCTCCTTTGCTTCAGCAGACCCACCAGCACCGACGCAGGTCACCGCCAGGGCCTTCGAGAGGATTACAGCGACGAAGGACGTCAAAGAGAAATTGTCGTACAAAACCCAACTTCTCCGAGACGGCGAGTCCGTAACAGTCCGGAGGTATATCATCCTATAACAGAGCATGAGGAAGGAGACTCAAAAGCCATCAGATCGAGCTTGCTTTCCCGCCGCCTGATGAACTTCCCGACAAAGAAAGAGGAGACGACAGTTCGGAAGGTGAAGCAAAAGATCGGCGATGCGCCACGGGTTAAGCAAATGACAGCAGATCCAACTGTGATGTCGATCAAGGCGGAGAAAGAATCCTTAACAACGCGAAGTGGACAGAGGGCAGCGTCGGTCGACGGGGAGATGAAGCCGGTGGCGAGTCTGTCCCCACGTTGATCATCTATCTCCCTGCCTTTGAGGGAGAAGAAATTGGAGGTAGCGAAAAAGTGGGACATGAAGCCATGGGTCTAACAATGGACGACGAGTTCTGTTGGAGCGCCGGTTGACGCGGAGGCACAAGCGAAGGCGAGAAGGAGTTCGGGCGTTCCTCCTAGGTGTCGGATGAGCAGCTCGTCGCCGGAACTGGAGGCGCCGAAGAACGAGGCAGAGATGGAACCATCGCAGCTGCGAATAGTGCGAGGGACTTCTCGCCGGAGGATCTATTCTCCGAAGCAAACGCCGTCGAGGAAGCAAACGTCGGAGGCGGACGAGTCGGAGATGCGACGGCTGGGCGGGTCGTGCCGACGACGACTGGCACCTGTGCCGCTGGAGGAGGAAACGCTCAGGGAAGAGGTGAGGAAGAAGAATGACGGTCTTCTCTCCAACCCTAGGACGCCGCCGAAGAAGAAAGAAGGGTGTGTTCGCCGTCGGACTCGTGGCCGCCGGGCAATCGGTGGGTTTGGGAGCCAGCAAAAAAGGGTTCGAAGAATGATGATGGCGGTCGCATCTCCTCTCTCGCCAACCCTATGGCCGCAGCAGGTGAGAGATCGGGCCGGACCAGAGGTAGGTCTTGGGCCATCTCTTCTAACCAGCCAGAGTGAGTGGGCAAAATAAGTCGGGCTCGATGTTCAGATGGGCCAGCTCTTGGAGTGGAGGAAAACAGAGGAGCTCGAGCTTGGCTCCCAACGGGTCGAGAGGATATGCAAGGAGGGTTTGTGTTGGGCCAGGTGGGCAAGCGAGACGGGCCGAGGTTTGGACTCTCCTTGGGCCGAAGTGGGATAGAAACTTAGTCCATCTTTTGCCTCTTGAGAAAAGAAGGTGGGCCGAGTTTTCAAGGAAGACTTGGGCCACCAATGGGCTTTTCTGTTAGATTAATTTTGCAGGAACAAAATAGGAAGGAACAAGGAAGTGGGGTCGTTGGGTTAAACGTTGGGCTTAATTCAAACCAACTTGAAGGAAAGTGGAGCCCAAAAGAGCTTATCATCCCCACCAAGTCCATGGTGGAATTTACAGATCATTTTCTTGAAGACTTCGAGTGGGAGTGGAAAGAAGAACATTTCCCCGATTCTTATTTTGTGGATTTCGAGAAGGCAGAGGGTGAATTGTTCAGCTATGGAGAACATGTCATGTGTCACGTGGTTCGCGAAGAGTTTAAGAAAGTGCGAGTTGTCCAAGAAGAAGTCCTTCGCATGCTGGAGCGCAACTGGAAACAGAGAAAGGGGAAGGTCAAGGAGGTGGAAGTCAACTGCAACCTTAAGGGCAAGGTTGCTTTCAAGAGGGGTGGATTGTCAGAAACCCGCCCATTGGGGTTTCTCTTATTATTTATTAGTAGGATTATTATTATTATTATTATAGTAGAGATTTAGTCGTATTAGGATTATTATTAGGGTTTTCCAGTATTTCCCTATAAATATGTACTTTGGGTTTACGTCATAATCAATCAAGAAGAATATTCTAAACCCTAGTTTATCCTCTCAACTCCTAATTACTATTCTCTCCTAATCCAAGGCCTCGGCCGATTCTTTATCTATTATGTTCTTTCTCATCTAAATCCATAATTCCTTCTCTCAATCCTAAATCCCTATTCGTTACGAGTAGTAACGGGTGCCGAATATCAATCCCTAGAAGCCCTAAGAAGCGGGTTTCTTACACCTAGCTAGTTGCTCGATCAGGATGATTTCAAACTCTGTCGTATTAGATGACTACGTATTAGTTCGAATTTTTGTTGGCATATATGCAACGTACTAGAGTAAGCAAGTGTCGATCGAGTGGTTAAATCGCTATAGCTAGCTTGCTGGTTCCCAAGGATGCTAACTCGTCCTATTTACCTCCGAAAGTGACAAACCCTCAAGAACACCAACACCTGCTACAACAAGACAGAAGACAAGACAGTAATCTCAGAAACGACCAAAATACGAAAGAAACAAACTGCATATTTTCCCATCGTACAATTTGCATGCACGTACCCATCTGGGGAAAGCGATCTCTGGTGAAAGGAACAAGGGCATGTATCGTGGCGAGAATGAAGACAAAAGGGTCAAACCGCACAGCGAAAGCAGAGGGATCGCCGCTTCTAGCTCTCCTTCCTAATAATACAAACAGTCAAAACTTTCAGCCAACAGGCAGCTCGAGAAAATTATTTTTTACTCTAGTTATTGCTACTCCACTAGCTAGATTGCTAGCTTGTGTCAATATCATATGTTATGTCCAAGTCATAATCTTAAGAGCGCCACAAATCGTACTTGAAATGATTGAAGTGTTGGACTTCCATATGCGTGTTGAATGAGATTGTATTGTTAGACATGTGGTTCAATCATGCTTATATACGATAACATATCGGTTCCTGCAGTTTTCTCGTAACATGAAAATTACGAGATATTTTCGTCGTTCAATATGTTATACAACACATTATCTCCCTCGAAGGATACATCTGTTAGCCGAAGAGAATACTCATTAAAGACACAAACCAAAGTTTCAACCTTCTCGACTGTATTATATGCATCGGGAAGATTGACAATTTTATCCACAAAATCCACGGGCAAGAGACACTAAGACATGGATTTGATTAACATAGTATAGTCTGGATGTTACTTATCCAACGAGAGGATCTCCCTCTTACATGTTTTAGTATTAGGTCTTTCTAACAGTTTAAGATCACTCATTACAATATTTATATAATTTGTTCATTTGCATATCAAAACCTTTGATAATTGAGATGTCTTGTGTTTGAACCCCGACAAACTCATTTATTAATAAAGCACATAATACTCAAATCTGTGGAAACTTCAAACCTTTTCATTAACCAAAGAGTGTTGATCTATTGATTGCCTACTGCAAGACAAATGCCCTAGGTAGCCACGTCTATACCTACACCCTCTCAAAGTCTCAACCCTTCTTTTCCCTCTATATAAGTCTCACCATAATTAACACTACAAACACCAAAACACAAACAAAAACAAAAACTCAAGAGTAGTGTAATCTCATTACCTTTTCCTCCCTTCACGTAGGAAAAATGAGCATCATCGTCAACAAAAGTTCAATCTCCGAGTCGTTCAAAACCAACCCGATCCCAACCACCCAAATCCTCCCACTCGACCTCCACAACCTCCTCAGCCTCCCCGACTCCCACACGTGGCCTACTTCCCCCGTCCAACCGCCACCGCCGTCCGCCACCATCCCGGTGGTGGACCTCGGCCGGCCACCGCATGCAGTCGCGTCGGCGGTGAGGAAGGCCAGCGATGAATGGGGAGTGTTCCAGGTCACCAACCACGGGATTCCGACCACCCTTCTCCGCGAGGCCGAGTTCGAGGCCAGGAGGCTGTTTGCGCTGCCGGCGGAGGAGAAGCTGGCCGTGGTCCGGTCGCCGGACGGGATCGACGGGTACGGGCTCGCACGGATTTCGAGGTTTTTTGCCAAGCAAATGTGGTACGAAGGGTTTACGATCATGGGTTCGCCTGTAAGGCATGCGAGTCACCTCTGGCCGAACGATTACGCCAATTTCTGGTACGTTGTTATTATGGGGTTTAATTATATCAACAATTAATTAGGTTATATATAATCATTACGAAGATAATACAAATAATAATCTGTTTAAATGTTACGACATTATGGTTTACACTACAGTATTCACGCTCAATCACTCCAGTAGATTATGCATATCCAGGATATAAATGAAAAGTCAAGTTCAATTACAATATTCTGTCTCACCCAATTACCCAAATCAAAGAAACGAAACAAAACAAAAGACAAAGCAAAGGAGTACTACTACGCAGTGTACACTGTACATTTGCATTGTGTATACGGCTGACACGTCAACCAAGAAGGATTTTGGTGTCTTTTCCCGAACTTGGTACAATCAAACTATCATATCGGTTATACAGGGGAATGGAGTTTTGTATATTAGTGTTCAAGTAACTCAATTAGTGCAATGCCTTCATCAGTGAATATCCAAAAATAAAATTATGTGGGTTTGGACCAAAGTTAACATATCGTACTAATTGAGATATACAGTTACTAACAATAATTATATTTATATAGTAATAATTTATTAAAAGTTATTTTTTCGTGACAAGAATGTAGTTCGATTCGAACATAATTTTACTTTTTACATAAACTAAAAAATCTAACACTTCAACCACTTGATCTATATAAACTAGTTAACTAAAGTTAGGATACCTAAATATGGTTTCTCCACTACCCTCTTCCTTGTTGGGCTTTGTTTTTCCGTAGCCGTTGAAATGAAAGATATGGCATTTTCCTTGTTGGGCTTTGTTTTTTTCGCAGCAACGTTATGGAAGAGTACCAAGCCCAAATGAAGGCCCTATCAGAGAAGCTCCTCGGCATAATGTTCAAGTCATTGGGCCTAGCCCAAGACGACATCAAGTGGCTCCACTCCAAAACCAATCACCACCCACCACAGGCCGTCCTCCAACTCAACTCCTACCCGGCCTGCCCCGACCCGGCCCACGCTATGGGCCTGGCCCCGCACACGGACTCATCCCTCATCACTCTCCTCCACCAGAGCAGCAACGCCACCGGCCTCCAAATCTCCGGCGACGGCGGCAACCTCTGGATCCCGGTGAACCCGATCCCAGGCGCGCTCACCGTCAACGTCGGCGACCTGATGCACATCGCCACCAACGGGCGGTTCAAGACCGCCCTGCATCGAGCGGTCGTGAACAGGACACGTCATCGCGTCTCCATGGCTTACTTCTACGGCACGCCACAGGAGGTGAAGATATCGCCACCAATGAAGCTGGTCGACGTGGACCATCCACTGCTCTACCAGCCTGTGACGTGGAAAGAGTACCTTGATGCGAAAGGCAAGTATTTCAACAGGGCATTGGAGTTCATCAAATGTGAGGCACTCTTCATTGCAGATAGATGCAGGCAGTTATGATTGAACAAAAAATGGCTGCAAATTTTCTTTGCAGTTTCTCATTGATATCTATAGTAGTGTATGTACATGATGAGTAATCCTACTTTGGCAGAAAGATCAGAGCTCATCTGCAGAGCCAAAAACTTTGGGAGTCTTTCTATAGAATGGACAAAAAAAGGGGGACTTAACAAAGTCCCATAAAGCTCCCTTGTACCACAAGAAAGGTGTTACACTATTAGCTATACGGTCAGGAGTAACAAGTCTCTACCAAGAGATCACTTCCAGAGCTTGACAACCATGTCGTGGCTCGCTGTAGCTACCAAGGCGTTGTCGCTTGATACTGCCAAGGCGGAAACCTTTTGCGCGTGTGCTTGAATGGTCATCGTCTTGTTTTCAGCCATGTCCCACAGCTCCAGAGTCTGCAATGCAACAGACCCAAAGTGAAAACCTCGTTAGGTTAAAAGGACGAGACTTTGCAGTCATAATCAAACAAGGGGAGAAAGGATTATCACCTGGTAACATCCGATGATCAAGAGTGATGGATGGGTTGGGTGAAAAACACAGGTGTTGAACCTGTTTCCTGAGTGGTTTAGCTCGCGAATACAATGTCCTTTGCTGGCAGAGCTAATTTTCCAGACTCGTACCAAGTCGTCACTCACAGATGCAAGAAACTCGCCAGATGGATCCCAACAAACAGAGTTAATTGGGCTTTTATGACCCTATAGCAGCAAGCAACAAACAATATTTGCAGAAGAATAACCCATCAAGACTAGGAATCCACGACTTAAACAAGACCATTATCAGTAGCATCTCTCAACATAAACCTGGGGTCGCTAACCATTGAACTCAAGGAGAGAGAGGTGTCAAACCTGTAATTCGAGTTTCCCAACTTGAGTTTCGACATCCAGTATGTAAACCAAATTTTCAGCCATTGCTGCAAGGAGCCTTCCATGGCGAGGTTGAAATCTCATCTTCATAGCATTCTAAACAGAAGGAATAAGAGGAGCGACCTGGATTAACTTAACTTACCTGACAATATAATTTTGGACATTTGGAGCAACAGAGTTTACCTTGACAACTCCAGCACAACTGTCGTTCTTGATACTCCAGTAGCGCATCTCATTATTACCATCACAAGAACATAAAAGGTCCTCTTTAGTAGGGTGGAAATCAACTGACATGACACTTGCAGAATGTCCTGTGAAGGTCCGAAGTGAGTGGCCTGCCTGCAAATTGTAAGAGATGAAGAGTTGAATGCTGTATTAGTAGAATACCATGTACACAAGAGAAAGAAAACCCAATAGTAAGATCGCTACAAAGGGGATAGACATTGTTTTCTAATGGTCAAATGCAAGAACGAAAGCAAATGTGGAGTGGCAGAGAGCTAATCAAGGTCACTTTACATTATCAGCATCCCAAACTCTAACAGTTCTGTCAGCAGAAGATGTAGCAAGTCTCAACATGCTTGGGCTGAAACGGACATCAGTAATCCACTGTGAATGTTCTTCAAGTGCAGAATTTACTGTGAAAGATTCTGTGCTCCAAAGTGTCACCTGCAGTATATCATCATTCATCAAACAAAATCCTCCATCTTTAATATGACTGTTTAAAGGGGAGATTGACTTAAATTTGTCAAATGGTGAAACTTTACTTTTTTGTCATGTCCGCCAGTAGCAAGCAGCTTTCCATTTGATGAGAAGTGACAGCATTCAACTTTACTTGTGCTGGCTGGCAGGACCCGGATCTCCGAAAATTTGAATCCTAGCCCTAGGATCAGAAAGTAACGTAAGCACTCCTAGTAACTCTGATCTGGCATTGTACTATTGCATTTCCACATACTATAGTGCAGGCAAACTGAAAACATGGGTATCTTTTATACATGAAAATACTTTAGCCTTAGACCTACCTTTAGTGACATCAGTAGACAGACCAACTTTGTCCCTTGGATCGCCAGAATCATGCGAAAAGAAAGATTCGACATTATCATCCAGAGTTTTGTCATCTAGAATCATATCCATATCAGCCTGCAATAACATACCAACGTTCAAGGGCCAAGTGCAATTTTATGATTCCAAATTGCAGCTCTATAGAAGAGTAATTAGATGGAGCGTGCAATAGAATGCCCACATGGTATAGTTCTTTCATCGCAAAAATTAACTGAAGTGGACTATTGTGAAGGGGAAAATGCTCACCCAATCATTTGAGGCTGATGCAAGGGAGCCCAGACCATCAGAATTTGGATTTTGTGGTGCAGTAGGCAGCAACATAGCATCTCCAGGTGTAGAAGGAGAAGTTGGGGATGGGCCAGTGGTGTTTGCAGAAAAAGACACATGCTTCTTTCTCTTTCGTTTTGAAACCTTGAACAAATAATTAGGTTCACTATGTTAATAGCATAATTCGGTACTCTCAATAGTGACACTGGAACAGGAAATCCAGAACCCAAGTGTCGCACATCGTCCAAGCGATGCGTATAAAAGGACTTAAAGGGCAACAGGCAGAAATAGAACAAAACTAGAAACTGTCGACATACTTCCTTGTGCAATTATTTGTTTCAGTTTTACTGAACAAGGTTAATTCACATACCATACCACAAATTCTGGAGTAGAAGATGTATTACAAGGTAGTAAGAGGGTAAGAATGGGCTCTAAGTAGAGACAGAATGACAGATAAAGTAAATTCAATAGCACAAAGCTGTAACTTCGCATCCAACTACTAGTAAAATTTTTCCAAGCAACAGGAACTGTAGTAAACAAGTAATCCAACATAGGACTAGCAAATAAATGAAACACGATCCATTAATTATCAAGCAAACCTGGTCAGTTCTGTGAAAGGTGTTTGACATGCTACCATCTGCAGTAATGCCACCAGAACCAATCATTCTGTCCTGCTGCTGCTGCAGCAGCAAGGGATTTGAATTTTGTGCCTGTTGACTTGAAAGTGGGAGTCGCGGGTACAGTTGCTGGTTGTTGTCTTGAAGTTGTTTCTGCTGTAACTGACAGATCATACCCAGTATAAGTGGGAAAGAAAAGGCATCAGGAAGCTTAGAAGGCTCAACATTTTCTGGGAAACAACCAAGATTCTCCACACATTCACACTTGACTTCAGAATAGTACATTGACTAGAATATCCGTGTCTCGTGGCATTCCATGGGAACCAACTTGCATTGGTGATCCAATGTTACTAAGCTGCTGAGGACTTTGCATCAACCTTTGATGCTGAAGAAGACCAAATTGATCCTGCCCCTAACAAGGTCACCAATCAGATTGGTTTGCTCTGCATAGCTCTAACATAAGAATGTGCTTCCAAAAACGGTTTTTCAATGCAAAATAAGATTTGTAGAAGACTTCACATGAAGATGTGTATGAGATTATAAGAAGTTTATGATATGAGTAAGTCTTACAGTTAAGGGCCATCCTTCCAGTGGCAAATTGCTTCCGCCTTGATTCAGCCCTAAATAAACAAAAGAAGAAGATAGTTGTGGTTTAGCATCTCCACTGGAATGACATGAAGTTTAAGCCATACGCCATAGAAACTGGAGTTAGCACTCACTATTCCAGTTATAACTACAATAATAACAATTTAACAGATAGAGGGAGCACTAAATATTAAATACCATGAACTCCAACTGACATTCCTTCTGCACCAGAAGACCAAGGAATCATCATTGTACTCATCTCATTGTTTATGTCATCCTGTAGCATGAGAAAATATATATTGCTTGAATTGGAAGCACACAATAATGTCGAAAAGAACAACATAAAAAGTGAGATGCACCTGAGAGGACATAGGTAGTTGCTGATTTCGGTTATGAGAATGTTGCAGATTTCCCCAACTTCCAGCTGGACCATGCATAGTTTGACTGCCCAAGTATATGTACAAGAGTGATTTCAAAAGCTGAACTCTAGACACCCAATAATCGAACAAAGCAGGACAAGAATTACCCTTGAGGCTGGCCTCCCAATCCAGCTGCTTTCAGCACTGCTGCATTACTTGGATCCGTAAGCTGGTTCATGCTATCGCTCATACTTTGCTGTTTCAGCAATTAATTGTTAGCATTTATAGAAGGAATGGTGAAAGGCAAATAATGCTCGTCTTGAATCTGTCACAAAAGCCAAAGCACCTTCTTAGCTGCATCCTCCAATGACTCTCTCTGAAGTGGATGCTTCAGCTTATCCTCGTACAATTTTGTCGCCATAGCACTGGCAGTTGGAGATGTGTGTCTTGGAGCATCATTACCAGCAAGCGATGAATTTGCAGCTGCATTCGGATTATGGCCGCCGTCTCTTCTCTGCAGCTGGTGCTGCTGTTGTTGTTGATGTTGTTGTTGTTGTTGCTGCTGCTGCTGTTGTTGTTGCTGCTGCTGTTGCTGCTGCTGCGCTTCATTTGCCCTTGCAACGAAGAAGTCCCAGAACACAGACCACCATTCCAGCAAAAAACCACCAGGTGCTTCGATAACTGGAGTTGGAGAAAACAGAAAATCATGGCTGAAGGTACATTAAGCCAAAAAGAAAGAAAGAAAGAACTAAAGTGATACCAGTCGACCAAGTTCTAAACAAGCTTTCTCTTTCTTTTTATGCTTGAAAATCTTCCCCGTTCTTTCCTTACCAGGAGGAGCGGTAGGCACTTTGGTTTCAGCTTGGAATGCCTTAGCAGAAGCATGCAATTGCCTCTTCACAAGGTAATCATATATATAGCGCTCCAGCCTGAAAAAACCCATAGGTCAAAACTGTAGGAAGAATAACGTAACATGACAACCACCACAAGAAAGCACAAGCTTCTATCTCCAAGAACAGTCCAAGTTAGAAATGCCAAAGCATCCAACTTTCTGCTGCCATTTTCAATTTTTATTCACGAAAGAGGCATAACATGTGAAGAATCAAGAACGGCTAGGTATAGCAAAAGGGAAATTGGACCACTTTGGAAGATAGCACTTTGAAAAGGACGAGTAAAAGGTCACAGTAGTAGCCAGAAAACCACAGTGGAAGCACTAAAAGTCTCAACCTAAAAGAGCACTAAAAGAACCAGAAAACAGGAGAATTCCACTCAATGAGCACGTAGAGTAGAAGATTGACCCAATCCAGCCAAAAATCCAGGGAGAAATTGCGTAAACACAACAGTATCTCATCCTCAGTTAAAAGAAATTAATGTGAGAAACGAGCAGCAAACCCCACAAGAAACCATGGCATGCCCATTTCCAAAAGACAGGACAATCGCCCAATGCAAACATAACCAGGAAAGCCCTATTCCAAGAATCGCCCCCATCATTTCTTGCTCCAAAGCGGCAATGAACCAAGAACCCACTTCTGGAAACCCACGACACACCAAATATAGCAACGAACTCCATGGAAGAAGACGGAGACGAACTCCATGGAAGAAAAGGAAGAGAAAGAGAAAGAGAAAGCACGTACATTTTATCAGAATCAAAGTTGGTCTGAGACATGATGACGGCTATCAGCAGAAACAGTGGCGAGAAAATCCGCGGGAATGAGAAGAAAACGAAAGAATGGAGATTTCTTGAATGCAACCCAGCAAGAATGGCGACTAGCCCAGAAGAAGAAGAGAACCGTCGTCGTTGATTTCGGGACAAAGGAAGCTTTTTCAGTTTTGAGAGGACAAGAATTCCTATACACACCACCCGAAGAAACAGAAAATCTCTCCGCCGCCCGCCCCCTCACACTCACTCACACAACTCTCCTTCTCGCTCCTCTATCTCTCTCTCTCTCTCTCACACAACCCAGTTCGAAGACGGTTAGTAATCTTGCGGGACAAGAAATGAAACTGGGAGGAGCCTCCGTGGCTGAATCCTTTTATAGCCGGTGCGACTGCAATTTCCTCTGTTTTTTGGGATGAATCATTTAGCGCCTTTTTTTCTTCCTTTTCCTGCTAAAACTAGCGCCTTTTTTCTTCTGCCATAACGGATCCTAATTACGGCGCCGTTTTATTCTTCTTTTGTTTCTTAATTCTGATTTTTGTTGCTTAACATTTTCCGGCCTGGCAAGCCTTGCATCGGACGGAAGCAGAGGATTAAAACCTGGAGTTGAATAATGTTGACCTTAAATTCTCGATTGATTTATGTCGTCGTCATAGTTGGTCGCGTAAAAACGAATTATCGAATAGTATATATGAAGCCTAATTTACTATACAATTTTTGCTAAATGAATTATCGAATAGTATATATGAAGCCTAATTTACGATACAATTTTTGCTATCAATCTTGGACCTTAACGATAATAACTAGAAGAAACGTTTGAGTATTTTTTTTCTGATCCTAACAACCATTAGCAGCTGGATGCCGTTATATTCGTTGAATCGTGCGATTTGAGTCGACACAGTCATGGATGCATGTTGTGATGATTTTGTAACATCAGATATAATAGGGGTTAATTGCATGGTTGGTCACTGAAATTACAAAAAGCGTTCATGTTTGGTCACTCGAAATATTTAAATCCATTTTTGGTCACTAACTTTACAAAAACCGTTCATTTATGGTCACTCTCCGTTAGCTGCCGTCCAACGCCGTTAACGGCATCCGTTAAGTGATGACGTTGCTGATGGATTCGCCTAATCATCACCTTTTAACCCGAAAATTGACTGACCCGACCCGCCACGTCATGTAAACCCTCCATGTCAGCCAAACCTAACCAAACCAAACCAGACCCGACCCCTAAATAAAGAACTGACCCGACCCACCAATTAATCTACCCACCTTTGACTAAAACCCTAATCGAAGACAACACTGAAGAGGATGAGCAATGAAGAGCGGTAATGACGGCGACCGGTTTAGAAGGAGCGAGGAGAAGGACGACGTTGAGAAGGATGCCACTCCTTCGCGATTGAAGCAGGAGGATACTGTTTGCGTTTGGTCCGAGATCGGAGGAGGCGAGAGGGACAGTAACTCCATTGTTAGAGTTCGAGCGAGCAAGAGTTTACGAAGAAAAACAAGTCGGGAGAGAGTTATACTTGGGGACGGAGGGGCATAAGCGATGACATCCCCTGGGCTGGTTTGAACTGTGCTGGGTGATTTGCTCTATTTTGGATTAGAAGATGGCTTTTGGTTTAATTGGGCTTTTGGATCTCTCTGTTTTGGGTTGGGACTTCCCACCACTTTTCGCCTCAAGATAATCTTACTGCTCTCCAATCGCCACCGCCACCGCCATTACCTCGCGCTCGCGCGCCACTTTCTCCCGCGGTACCGCCACCACCATCCTTACTCCGTCGTCGATGGTAAAAGAATAAGCAAGGTGGCCGCCACATTGATTTCTTGCTGTTTGCAGAACATCTGTAGTCTCAATCGCCCTAAGTGGCCGTAGCGGTGCTTTGGGCCGACGACGGTGGCGGTGGTGAGAGGGGAGGAAAGAGGGTGGGAAGAGGATGGTGGAGGCCTGGAATCGGTTGCTATGATGAAACGGCTGGATGGAGGCAGATGGATTTGTCTTCGATTAGAGTTTTAGTCAAAGGTGGGTAGAGTAATTGGTGGGTCGGGTCAGTTCTTTATTTAGGGGTCAGGTCTGGTCTGGTTTGATTAGGTTTGGCTGACATGAAGAGTTTACATGACGTGGCGGGTCGGGTCGGGTCAGTCAATTTTCGGGTTAAAAGGTGATGATTAGGCGAATCCGTCAGCCACATCATCACTTAACGGACGCCGTTAACGGCGTTGAACGGCAGCTAACGTAGAGTGACCATAAATGAACGGTTTTTGTAAAGTTAGTGACCAAAAATGGATTTAAATATTTCGAGTGACCAAACATGAACACTTTTTATAATGTCAGTGACCAACCATGCAATTAACCCGATATAATAGTTGGGGAATTTAATCATCAGATATGGGGGTTGCACTTTGCATTGTACTGCAAATGGAATGGATGAGAAAAAGCAGTAAAGCTTTTTTAACTTTTTACCTATGGGTAAAGAATAAAAAGATTCAAAGAGCAATCAGATTCAGGAGTAAAGATGAAAGGAATGCCTTCTTTGTAAAGCTGAGGGGAAAAGGGGAACTCAGGGAACTGAAATCAATGGCTTACCACTTCAACTTACTGGACAATCAAAAGGGTTATCAAAACCAGGGCATTCAATTTACACAACACAGAATATAATTCATCCTTACTTCTACTGAAGTTCATAATGAACTAACCTCAAACCACCCGAAAACTTCTACTTCCTGATATGATAATGGGGTGACCTAGTACTGAATGGAGAGAACTAAACTGAGAGAGTGATAGAAACTAGAGAGCTTCTTATTTGAACTCAGCTGCATGGTACGTAGGGGGCTTGACTTGTAGTTACTCCTTGAAGTCATCTTTGTCGTCGGCCGGAATAGGCATGTTCCTCCAGAAAACAGCAAGTGCACTACCACCAAGCTGCACCAAATGCAGTTCCCATGTCAAAAATTGTTGTGAATGTACATGAACTGTAGAATTTAAGTTTTAAGATTGGAGTTGCATTAGAAATCTTACAGCCATTGCAACGACGCTGACAGCTGAAGGCACGGACCACGAGGGGATTTGTAAAGTGCTTCTGAGCAAGCAAGAATCCAAGGGCAGAGCTCTGCATAGATAGATTAAGGATTAAATTACATGCCCCAGTGAATCTGAAGACTAACAAACTACAACGACTCCATATGCGCTCTCTGCGAGACTTGTTTCATCAACTAGCAGCAAGCAAAAAGCCAACTGAACTAGATTGATCCATACTTGGGATATGCACACAGAGTGTCTACAGACAGTACTTACACTGATATCCCGAGAAACCTATTATATCGTGAAAATCCAATTCCACCAGTTTCATGCGTCGTCACATTTATTATTTCAAGGTTTCATACTTATTTTTCAGAAGTTACAAGCTAAAATTTAGTCATAGAAGAGAAATTGTATGCACCTTCAGATATATATTTCAGATTTCAAATTCTCTACAGTTCTGTTCAAGTAACTATAATTACGAAGGAAAAATGGTATGCACCTGCATTCCACACTCAATTGAGATAGTACGAGAGGTGGATTCACCAACGACAACTTTGAGATGAAATATCCAATTGCAAATGCAGCAGCATGCAGAACAGCCACTGGCAGTATTAGCTGTACACCTTGGGTTTTCAGTACATCTGCAACTTGCCCAATCTTGGGTATTATAACAGAAAAATTGAAAGTTAGCTTTAGCCACATAACTAATAAAGTATAGGAGCTCAAAGCAGATATCTTACAGGGCTTGCACAGAGTAAGGTTGTGAGAAGGACTCCAATGAGAGGTGTCACGGAGATAATCTTTGATGTGAACTTGGGGAAAAATTCATTTGCTAGAACTGCATGGACAAAAGAACCAAGTAGTTCAGAGATTATGGCAATCGTTAGCAAAATCTCAGATTCAAGGAATACATCTTATAGAAAGTTTTCAAGCACCTCCAAGAATAGTTGGCACTAGCACAACCTGAAACGTGCTCAGAGCAAGACCCTGAAAAGAGTTCATGTAAATCAGTAAATGTAGCAGTTGTAGAACAAAGGAGGAAAAGAAAACCAGAAAGGTAATGTTTAGGCACCGTTTGCGGAGACATAATGATTAGTAAGCCATTGTATTTCAATGTTTCGCGTAAACTTGAGGAGTATGTGACAACCAGATAATAGAACTTACTGCAGCATCAACTGGAACAAGCTGGCCAGCAAGAGCTTGGTGAGAAGGGGTGTCATGATAATAGCTCCAATGGTTGAGCAGCTGCGGAATCAATAATAACAGAGAGACAACAATTTAGTAAGAAAAGTAATGATTGCAACAGATTCTACAGTTAAGAGTGAGTTGGCCAAGACTCAAACCACAAATGAACAAGGATAAAACTGAAGGTATGTTCACTCGTTAGAAAGGAATTAACTGGACCACTCCATAATAGTTGTATGCATTTTCAAACTCCAATAAGAACATGAATTGAGACGAAGTTCATTTGGTTCAAATATGCCACAGAATAACTTTTGACCAGATTATGGCTCTGCTTGTTTCTACACTTGAAAACAACAGCCAAAGCTATATACTAGTCTTGGGCAATCACCCATGACAATACCATGATAAACTTCTTACACAAGAGAAGGGGCAGCGTATTTCCGACCAAGGCAAGCCATCATGATCTTTGGTATTCCATGAAAATAAATCTAGTTTTTTAGAAGTACCTCACCAACCAATGTCACAAAAGCCATTTGATGTAATTCTAAATTGTAGTTGACCATTCTCTTCCATTTATCTCTTCTTAATAAGAGGTTCTTCATTCGTCAAAAAGAAAGAAAGAAGGAAAAAGAGAAGCCATGGATGACAAATGCAATTACGTTGTCATAAGGACCGAAAGTGCAACATTTCCCTTTGATATATATGTGGCAACATTAGATGCTGGCCTCCTGGACAACATGATACCAGAATAAGTCCAGTTGCAAGGGGTGCTGACAAATTTAGGGCCTGGAGATAAAAGAGGAGAGAGTTCAGAAAATCGCTCATGGAATACAAGAATTTCTCAGAATACAATTACACAGACAATATTGCATACGTACTCCAGATAGAAACCACATAGAGTTATGTAAGACCAGGAAAAAAGAAGCACCATTAAAAGGAGGGAAGGACTTCCATGCTCAAACCAACTTGTGCTTAGTATGATCTGGCACACTATACACTCACTAAATGGGACTCCAAGAATTCAGAGGATAGGAAGTGTAAACCAAAAGTAAAACTACTAACACATCAATTATCACTGCTCAGCCTATCCTACCAGAAATGTATCAGGTTTATCATGCTAATGATGCCCTGCAGAAATTACATCACATCAAGACATTTAATAGCTCCTAGCCCTCAGAAACAACTTCACCTTAATTTTTATCCCTGAGCAATAAACAAATAGCTCGACATGAGACTAGAACAAGAAATCAATAACAGATGGTTTTCATGTTGATAATCTGAAAATTTAAGCATTACCGAGGCAATCGCAAAACCTAGCAGGGGCTTGATCAAATACTGAGCAAGGAATCCTACACCAACCTGCAACAGTTGAAGATATGCTCATCACTTTCTGTACATAACAAATAAATCTCATCTACTACAACAAAATATACTATGTATTGGTCTTACAGTCCAGGGATTCCTCAGACATCGTCTAAAATCTTCGAAAGTTAAAGTTAATCCCATAGAAAGCATGAGGAAACCCAGGCCAACAGTGAACAGATCTGTCTGCAACCATGTAACCTGAGTACACCAGTAGCATTTAGTTAATTTCCACAGTTACTAAGTTCTATAAACCTTGAAGCACAAAACTACAAGTGCGATATATTACCGCAGCTGGCTTGTAGATACCAATGATGGTGCCAAGAATAACCTGTTCATTCAACTTAACGTTAGAGTGTGAACCAATTCCCCAACCTAACATGCATAGTCAAGTATTCCCAAACCAAAGGTGCTTTCAAGTTTAACTAAATCTGCATGGAGATAACTTGATACCTACCCAAAGTGGGAACAGAGTTGTCAGAGTTTCAATTATCTTTTCATACTGGCTCATACCAGCAGGACTGTGCTGGGAACATCGCCGGATAAGTTCGTAGCAGCATTGCACAAAACCACAGAGCTCCTGCCATTCAGCCATCTAAAATGTTACTTCTAATACAATGTACAAAGAATTTTCCCTACTTCAATGCATGACACTAGATCAAGTAGTCAAAAAGTAGAGAATAGGAAGTCTATTCTTTTATTGATGAGCGGAAGTGCTTTATTAATCAAAAGAAACAGTTCTTCATCATTGCCAAGTAATTACGAAAATTCTCTCACCGTGATAGCGATGAAGGCATTTAACAAGACACCATAAAGTGAGCACAGGTCAGTAAAGCAATATACCTTGAAGTCTGCATGACAGGAGAAGCAGCTGAAACAGAAACAACGGGACTGTTTGGCTTGCTTTGCAATGCCAAAATCTTGCCATTCTTAGGCGCCAAGTTCCAACCTTTCAGATCTTAAAATCATAATTGTAGACCGCAGTTAGAAGAACCCAAAAACATACTCAATGAGAACAGCAAATGAACACCAGCCAGAGCACCAAAGAACGCAATCAAGCAGAAAATGAAAATGGTCAAATTGTGAAGCATCAAATTGGCATACCCAGATGAGTGTTGAGCCTCCTGATGCTCAAACTAGAAGAACTGGGCTTGTGTAGTGCTGCACAAGTAGTAAAGTGGCAGTCTTTGGCCACAAATCTAGACATGGAGGCCATTGCGGCTAGTTGATCAAACACCAGGGAGGCTGGGGTTTAATCAGGGCGGTTTCCTTGGAGAGGTCCAAGGAACAGAAAGAAGATACAAAGGGGTGATACAACCAAAGCCAGGCCAAATTGAGAAGGGTTTAAGGATAGTGATAGTGATGCACTATTGCAAGCAAGCAAGTGGGAATATATGAAGATAAAAAGAAAATACAGGATCGTGGAAACCGATGAGCCACACACTTCCCCAAGCTCACTTCTCATCCAGATGCTGCGCTAAGTAATTTGGGGAAGCCGGTGCCATGTCGGCCGTGAGTTCAAATTTTTCTGCTTAATAAGGGTCCCTCACCCAGAAAGCCTCCAAACTCCTCCTTCTCTAAACAGCTTGACTTGCGGGTAGATTGGATATGCAAAGGATGCCACTTTGATACTTCCCATTTTCACCTCATTTGGATTCCTTCTTGTTTCTTTTCTGTTTTTCCCTTTTCACTCATTTTCCATTTTCACCTTTTTTAACTCGCAGATTTCTTGTTGTCAGCAGGATGAGGAGGTAGAGCCTGTGATTGGTAGGCAGGCAGATTTTCGGATAGAATGGTGAAAGTCGCACGGATTTGATCTTGGAAATTGGAATCAGCTATAGCTCCAATTATTTGGGCCGTCATAAGCCTCGAAATAAAAGTACTCTTTAATTGGATCTTTTATGACTGTGATGGGCTCAGGGTCTCCTTAAATAAATAAAAAATGTAGCCGAATGGAATAATTTAAATAAAGCCCATGATAACAATTTCCTTTTTCTGGATCGGGCTCGTTTTCCACCAGGTCCAAACAACCTCAACGTTAATAGCTCTTATAAATAGGGGTGGGCATGGTGGTTAATCCGCGAATTGATGTCGATCCAGCCACAAATAATTCGACCCGCAAGTAATAGGTGATTGATGTGGATGGATTGCGAGTTGATAAATCTCTCACCCGCACTTATGTGGGTTGGTGGGTGGGTGGATTGCGGGTCACCCATATGACCCGCATCCTATTTTCACATGAAAAAATGTTGTTAATAATAGTAGTGAATACTCATCATATTTTTGTACCCCGCTATAGTCTCACCATATACTTCAAAAGGTGAAGAATAAAGAATAGTTTTGACTACTATTATTGGTTATTTGTTGCAGTGGCGGATCCAGAAATTTTACATAGGGGTGTCCTCTTTTAAAAAATAAATTGAATAAATTTTAATTCTTAAATACTTAATAAATAATTCTTATATAATAAAATACCTAAATCGTACAAGTTAAAAAAATTCCACAATGTGTTTTCATATTTGAAAATAATTTTAAAATACACTTTGTGTATACACAGCTCAAAAAATTTGTCTTTGTATATCCTACTATAAGCATTCACGAACTGATCATATATTCGATTTTTACACTTGTTCTTTATGTAACCAAAGCTGAAAAGACTCTTTCAACGCTTGTCGTACAACAGTGTTTAAAATAATTTGTTTAATTGTTAGGTTTTGAAAATAATTAGAGATAAGGAATGACATTTTACTATTACACAGTATTTAAAATCGAACAACAAATGAGTTGTAGTCTAAAGAAAATTATTTTTATTAATAATAGTAGTGTCCAAAGGTTTGAATTACTCAAACTACAACTTATATTCCCATAAGCAAACTAAAAGATGAGAGTAGGATAATTATTTTTTCAAAATTCAAGGGTTTCCCCGACTATCAATTATAATTTTTTTATCCATACGTAATTTACCACTAGGGTTGGATAATCATTTTTCCAAAATTTAGAGGTGTCCTGGGACACCCCCAATGTCCCGTGCATCCGCCCCTGATTTGTTGTGCAATATCCATTAGATATTGGATATTGGGATGCAAACTATAAATTATTAATTGTATCAAAATCACAAAATGCGTAAGTTTTCTCTACACAATTGGTTGACAGAGCAGTACGATTTTGATGCAAATACTATATGGATTCACTTGCGACAAAGTGAAAAGTGTCTAAATTGATACAGTCTTACTAATTTGCAATGAACTTATTTATAAATGTTAGTCAACTTTTTTAATGGCTATTTGGAGAATTGATTTTGCATGTTGACTCACGATCCAACCGCGCCTATCTGCTACCCATCCAACCCAACCCGCAGAAGAATGTGGGTGGATTGTAGGTTACAATTATTCCAACACGATAGTAAGCAAGTGGGTCAATTTGAGACCAAAACTCACCCACCCAACCAGCCCATTGCCCACCCTTACTTATGAATATTTGTGGCTCACTAGTTTCATAGACGAGATCAACTGAATGCATACTAGAGGCATCAACTGAATGGTTTTTCATAGTTGAACAGAGAATTGGATGAACCACTCCAATTCGGCTGATCCACTAATGTACTAGTTCACCATTTTAACAGAAAAAATATGTTTAACATGAACTGAGATTCTTTAACACTATTAAATATTTTTATTTATACTCTCTGATCTTTATTTTCCAGCCTCCTTGTTGAATTTACGTGATCCACTACCAACTATCACTCCAATTATAATAAAAATTACTGACGATGCATCATAAATCAAGACATATATACAATGACCATGTCATATATCCTTTAATCTTTCAATTTGAAAAGGAAAAGGAGACTAATGTTTAATCCATAGTAAAAATGGACAAGTTTTCACCCAAGAACACAAGGCGGAATGAGTAAAGAAGAATTGAGGAATACAAAGCTCACAAGGAATATTAAGCGGAAAGGCAAGACTATGTGCATATTGGTTGGTTTGACAACTGGTAACAATGAGCGGTGGTAATTAGGATTAATATCTATGAATTCAATCAAAATTTAATTTCTTTTGGGGCTCGGCCGAGTGTAGTGTCGAAGCGAGCTGGCTGTTACGCTTCTACCTAACAAGAGTTGGATTCGATACCCATGTAATAGTCGCACCGGCCAAGGACGTCTTACTCATCTGATTACTGTATCTCACCTTATAAGAATATAAATATTTGAACTCAGTCATAGGACATAGGTGCTTGTGGGCAAGCAACTTATATATAGGAAATGATAAATCAAGCGAGGCTCCTATTTACTCCATGAGGCTTGTGTCACGACCCGAAATGTCATGACCGTGTTGATCATCTGAAGAACGCTGCCATCTGGTTGTCTTGCCATGAGAAGGGTAAAGGGGGCGACATTAGCGATAAGGCGTTGTCTGCTTGTGCATCGCATCTGGCCGAGTCAGGATGTGGCTATGAAGGGGATCGTTGCAAGAGAAGGCACAACTGGTCGGAGGCTATTGCCGTCTCCCTGAGGAGCCCATGGCAGGGCGAAACCAGTTGGCATGCGTATGCGGAGAGGCTAGTCTTGAGGAATGAGTGCACCTCAAGACGCCGCACGGACTTCGGAAGTCTATGTCCGTGACAAGTGGTATCAGAGCCTGGTTAGGCTGAAGAGCCTAGTTTCTCTCTCAGTACGGCATAGGTCGTGTATGGGCCGACCCTATGCCCGAATGAGAGGCGGTCCTGAGTGTGCATATCAGGCGGTCCGGACGCAGATACACATGTGTTGCGCCTTTGTGGGGGACCTCGACAGGCTGAAGATGCAACGGCCGAGAATGTCATTCAACCGAGGAACTAACGCTAGCGAGAGCGTAGGGTGAAGGTTGATTGAAATACAAACGTGGGAGTAGCGTAGGGTGAAGGTCGACTGAGGTACTAGCGCAGCAGAAGCAAAGGGTGAAGGTTGATGTCGAGGGGCGAAGCGGTATGTGCACGGGACACAGCAGGCTAGCGCGAGAACGCGACAGGAGCCTGTCCATCAGAGGATGGTATCGTATGCGGACGCCCACAATCGGTTCGAGAGTTGTAATACATGCTGTGGAGAGAAGCATTCTTCACCAGCACGAGGACGTGCTGCATTACGAGTGGTGGAGAATGTCACGACCCGAAATGTCGTGACCGTGTTGATCGTCTGAAGAACGCTGCCATCTGGTTGTCTTGCCATGAGAAGGGTAAAGGGGGCGACATTAGCGATAAGGCGTTGTCTACTTGTGCATCGCATCTGGCCGAGTCAGGATGTGGCTATGAAGGGGATCGTTGCAAGAGAAGGCACAACTTGTCGGAGGCTATTGACGTCTCCCTGATGAGCCCAAGGCAGGGCGAAACCAGTTGGCATGCATATGCGGAGAGGCTGGTCTTGAGGAATGAGTGCACCTCAAGACGCCGCACGGACTTTGGAAGTCTATGTCTGTGACAAGTGTCACGACCCGAAATGTCGTGACCGTGTTGATCGTCTGAAGAACGCTGTCATCTGGTTGTTGTAGGAAGATTTGGGAAATCAGAGACAGTCGACAAAATAGTTCGTTGGGAATAAATCATCTTCCTAGAATCTTGGAAATCAAGTCGAAATCAATCAACTGATTGATTGCATAATCACAGCACAAGAATCACTCCTTTGATCAAGCATTGCAAATAAGGAAGGTTCCATCTCACCTCCTCCTCATCTATAAAAGGGACTGAAACATATTGCCTCTTTACTTTTGTGAGAGAACGGAAAAGGGTTTCTAAACAAAAGGGTTTAGCAAAGGGGAAGAAGTTCTTTGCTAGTGGCTGATACAAATTCCGGAGTTTGGAATTTGGGTTGTTTATTCGTCATTCTACTTTGTTTCTAGAATTTCCTTCTTTGAGTCTTTATTTCGATTTGCTACTTTTTTATTTGTAAGTTAGATCGTAAAGAAAATAAAATAGAGTCGTAGGTGTGGACGTAGCACATTGCACCGGGGTGAACCACGTTAAAAATATCGTGTATTCTTTAGATTTCTGCACTTTTCTTTTCGTACTTCATCTTCCATATCAATTCTCTGTTCTCCAAGGATTTTGATCCAAGGAAGAAAACAGACCTAAGTGTTCTCTATACTGATCTACTCGGCTGGGCTTACCAATCATCAAGCCCATCTCAACGTTGGCTTTTTGCTAATAGATTTCAAGTGTGTTTGAGAAGCCGTGGCCCGAACT